CACCCGTCGACTTTGTAATGTCGGACGCGATTCTTCGGGCTGCCGACATGGCGTTGATGAAGTCATCCTGGCTGCGCAACGGGGTATGCATCGTTCTGAAATGACTGGCAGGGATGGTGTCCTTCTCCGAGTCGACCACCACCGCATTACCATATGATGCTTGTCCACCGAGCGGGCAGTCGTCATTGGTAGGCGCCTTGAGGAACTTCTCGAGGTAGTGAACGAACTCACCGTCCTGGGGCATACCGGACAGGGTGATATTCCATGGCGGGTTGCGATCAGCAAAGCATGCCTTGCCGTTCTCAACACAGCACGAATCGCCAAGGTCAGGGTTAAGCCACAAGAAGAAGTCATCGATCCAGCTGGCAGCAGGCGATGAAATGTATGAGACATCGGGTCTCTTGCGCTCGCCCTCCAGGATGTTGGAGAGGGAGAATTGGTCGCAGGTGGTGAATCTTGCGCAGATCTCGCGTTGGTTCTTGCGCGCAGTCGCGTTGAACTCTCGGGTGACAAAGTAGACAGGAGGACCGGTCTCCATGTATTTGTAAAGATCGTTGAAGTAGGGGATGAGATAGGAGCCGTCGGGAATGGCAACGCGCTGGTCCAGGCCAAGTTGCACCTCGGGAATAAGTGCGATTCCAGCGGCAAACAGACCCAAGAAGATGGCGATAATGATTGCCTTGGCCTGCTTTGCGAGAATGGCCGGTGCGTATGTACGACGGATGAACTGCTGCAGCCAGCTCTCTTCCGGGACTTCGTAGAACCGCGCGTTGGCATTGCCGTTTCCGCCACTCAGGTGGACGCGAGCTGCCTTGACCTGCAGGCAGGGGATGCAGTCTGCCCTGTGGTCCTCCACGCGAATCTGGTTCATGGCCAGAACTGAAATGAAGAGCGTGATCTGAAGGATGGCGTTGATGAAGACAGCACCAGCGGCATAGGCGGCAAAATTGCGCACCGCAGGCATACCCACGAACGTTCCGAGAGCAAAAGCGACAACTTCGGTCATAGCTGAGAGAAGAATCGACGGACCCATTCGTCCCAGGGCTTTGGCAATACGCTCCTCGACCATCTCGTCAGGGTGGCTCACGTTGACGCGCTCAAACTCGTGAACGATGAGGAAAATGTTGTCAACACCGACGGCAAGAACGATGAAGGGAATGACCTCGGCAATGATGAGCGTCGCCTTGAGTCCGAACCAGGAGAACAGACCGATAGAGGCGCTAATGGACATGAGGACAATTAGAATGCCAACAACGCCGAGTGAGAACTTGGACTGGACCAAAGCCACGGCTGGGTTCCTGATCATATCCCGGAATGACAGCGTGGTAGATCCGAGGGCAAGAGAGGCGTAGAGGAACATGATGATGTAGCTGATGACGACGATCTTGGCATCGGTGTTGGTTGACTTGTTCAACTCCTGTTCCAAGCTGATTTCGGTAGAGAAGGAAAGTCGAAGCCCTCGGTCCGAAGCTTCCTGCTGAACCTCGAGAAGGCGGTCGCGAAGCGCAACCTCCCAGTCCATGGCACGCTCAACGGCCGGGCTACCTTCCACAGCGTTTTGGACGACCCAGGTGACAGTCATCGCATGAGCAGCAGCGGGATCGTCCTCGTAACCGCCTAGAATCATGTTCGGCTCGAGAGGAAGACCAAAATCAGGACGGCACTCGACGGGGGACTTTGCGCACTGCCGCAGTTGATCCTCCCAGTCATTCTTGCCAACAAGGGAGGGCTCGTCGCCAAAGTAGGTCGCCACTGACTGGACAACGCAGGAGGTTCCGGTAGGCTTTAAGCAGATGTCATTGAGGGTCGCGCCAAACTTGGGGCCCTTCAGCTGCTTGACGCTCTTTTCGACACCCATCCACCAGATCAGCGTATCGTAGCTGAGAACGGGGGCTGGGCCGCTGGAATGCTGGTCGTTGACCAAAAAGGCCTTTTCGGCGCGGTAAAATGGACCAAACTGCTCGTCAAAGAAAGCCTTTTCCTGAGCAGCAGGAGACGTGGGGCTAACCCATAGACGCGCAGGGTCTTTCTCGAGGTCGAACCTGACCCAACCGGCACTGAGAATGATGACGACGATGAGCGTGACACCAATCGTGATTCCTTGGTAGCGCGCCGCTGCGTGACCGAGCTTGCTGAAGGCCGCGTCGCACCAGGTATTGATCTTGTAGTATCTCTGAGGTCTATCGAACATGGCCCCATTTTGAACCAGGTCACCCTCATCCTCATCGTCGCTGGGAGACGCATCTTGCAGGAGTCGGAGGCGCTCACTCTCTCTCTTGGCACGGCGTCTCCACACAACGTGTCCGACAACGGCTGCGATGGCAGCGAACAAGAGGACGCTGTAGGTGAAGATGGCCGCAAACGAGAGACAGGGTAAAAGACCAACATGGCATTCGCCAGGCTTCGATACGGCCGGGAGCTCCGGGCAGACAGCAGGACAATCGACACAAGCGCAGCGGTAGTTGGGGTCCTCGTCATTGCACTTCTTCGGGGTCATGTCGCGAGGGGCCATGCCTGGCTCGGTGTACTCGGTGGGGAAGTTGATCTGGAAGGGCGATCCAATGACCTTCTCGTCTCCCAAGAACTTGAGCAGCTGGGAGTAGTTCTTTGCGCCACCTCCGATAAAGTCAATGGCCCTAGAGTTGGATGGACCGAACTTGACCTCCTTGCAACTGTCGAAGAATCCAGTTCCATATTCCTTTGAGATGAGCTGGTCCAGCTCTGTGACCATAGTCTTCTTGTTCTTCTCTTGGGTCTTTGTGATGTTTAAGAAGAGGGACTGGTCGGGAGAGCATGTGAAGGTGCAGAACAAGTTGAAGAAGTTGTCCTTGCAGGCCGGGCAGGAAGAAACGATCTGGTTCGGGGTGCCGAGCTCGGAGGCGAGCGATTTGACCTGTTGAGCAGCACACGTCAGTAAGATGGCCAGCAGCCAAGTTTATTGAAGCCGATAACTTACCTGTTCAGCATCGCAACAAACCGGCCCAGAGTTCCATTTAGCGCCGCAAAGGTCGACAATCTGCTTTCGCAGGTCTTCGTCGGGGTCCGTAGCCAGACCATTGTCAGGGCAGGGCAGCTGCTTGCCAAAGAAGCTCTTGGAGCCGCAGTGGCCGCGCATGGCACATCGTCCGGCTTCATGTTTTGGCGTAAAGGGGTCTGCTGCAACAGTGCTGCTCAGGGAAGCCAGCAACAGGCCGCCAGCTCCGAGCAGCTTCAATAGCGTCATCGTGGGCTTGGTGTATGCCGCTCAGCGGCTAGGACCGGGTTCCTGGTAGAGTAGTGTGCTGAAGAAGAAGAATACTGAGAAATATGCGGTGATGATTAGAGATGGAGGAAGGAAACGCCCGTCGCGCAGAGAGACCCAAAAAGCAAGGGACGATGAGCGGTTTGATGGCAGATGTCGGGTGTGGAATGAGAGGGACGGATGGAGGTTGGGTGGTGGTTGCAGTGACACACGATACCTACCTGAAGGTACCGTCCGGGTGCGCCTGCTTCTGGAGTAAGGTAGGTAGCAAGCTTTCTGGGAGCTCCGGTAAGGTAAGGTAGGTGCGGTGGGCTGCTGCTCGTGTGGCGCACTTGCACTTGCGACTCTTCCGCCCGCGTGTACGCTGTACGGCGTGTCTGCGTCATCCACCTCAAGTTGCACCAGAAACAGCAGCGGCAGCGGGTGTCTCAGTGCTGGCACTCACCACGGGCCACTGCGGAACTGCCTGAGGTGCGTACCTCAACCACGCAACGCCGCAGCGCCGCACCCACCCGACCGGCTGTTGGTGCTTCCTGCCTGCAGAAGTGGGTCTACCTTTCGCTCTCGGCTGGGGTCCTTGGGGGAGCTTGGGGACGTCCTCCAGCAATTCTATTGGGTATTTCCCTCCCAGCCACCCCGCTGTTAGTCGCCGCAGAATCAATGGCGTCACGATGACAGTCACGTGGATCTCTTAGTCAGGTACCTGCCCAATGCGGCACATGGTCGGCTGCCTTTCCGGAGGCTCACGCGGGGATTCCCCCGGACTTGGGGCCTACGGATACCCGGATACTTCAATTCAGTCCCGCTCGAGGTTCGGCCCGGGGACTTCGGTTCTAGAACTGGTTGTGTCTCCAAGCTTACTACACACTACCCTTTGGCCTTCCAAGCATCTGCTGAACTCATGTGTACCAAGTATCTGTGGTAGCAATATGTCAAGGTCTTTATTACCAACAACTGAAACCTCACTGGCATGTCCATGCAATCGTCCAGGCAGGCGTGTTGAGTGCCTATCTTCGATGCAAATTCTGACGAGCTCAAGCTTCTCGAAAAGAAGCTCTTAGCAAAGGTCACCGTTCACATTACCTACCTATCTAACAAATTCAATCGGCAGTATAACTTCTTATCTAACGACCTGACCAAGCTTACCGTAGTGGGTGGCGGGGTTCATTGGCAATTTCTCGTGGCAGGCTTCCGCTTAGATCGTGAGTAAGCCTATTCTGGTTAAACATTCTCTTGAAATAAAGTACCATACATTCAGACGTATCGCCCTAAAGTACTCTTGTCGCCTGCGGTGGAGTCTTGCCCTGCACTTATATAGTCCGGATGGAACATATGATCCTCGATAGGTGAAGATGAGTACTACCGTTAGGATAAGACATCCGTATCACGACTGCGATGCAAAAAGACAGAACATCTGAACAAGGCAATGTATCAAAAGCCATTCGCAGAACGCGGAAGCCACCCTCAGAAAGCCGAAGAATATCGCGCCCACATGGTTGCGCTGTCCTCAATTTAGACGGTGGCATCTATCGCAATATTTATGTAGTAGTAGAGATTTTAGACCTCAGACTTCTCTTTGAGTACGAATAAAACACTCTCAGGATAAGAGTCATGCTCGCAGCAGCAGCATCACTCATCCTCCCCCTTCCCCTCCCACCCCAAAATCTTTGGCCCAAAATTATACCATCCATACATCTCCACGCTCGCAATCACACAAAACCCCGTGATCAACCAAAACCGCGCCCGAGGACTAGAAGAAATGTGTCGAAGATTGAATGCCGGGATCTCAATTGGATCTTCTCCTCCTATTTTGTTGCTGTTACCGTTGACGTTGTTGCTGCTGCTGTTGTTCTTGCCCTGCGCAGTACCACCGGCAGTCCAGGACGGCGATGTGGAGAAGGCTGCGCGCTGGAGCGGCCGGCCCCGAAGACCTGCGGGGAGGACGAGAGTCCTTGTTGCGATACGTACTGTAGACGCTGACATGACTTTGGGCTTTGTTGTTACCGTATTCCTGATCCCAAAAAAATTGAGAATCAAATCTTGTTTACTCTTTGGAGGCTACGTATGTATGTATGATGGCGTATCTGATAATACCAATGCTATCTTCATCTATCGCGTTGCGCTCGAAGATTTTATATTCTCAGTCCGCCGTTATTTACGACCCGAGCGTCTGCCATATTTACGAAGGATGCGCTGGAGTCATCGTAAAACGACATGCCTAAGCGTGAAGGTGGCACACCCCAGCCGACTGCACCCGGGAAAAGTGGAGACGTGCCCGTCAGCTCGGAGGAATATTGTCCTGTCTTATGTCGCGGGGACTTTGGTTTTCCCTATTGGGCTTGTATTGAGCCTATCACTTTTGCCCAGTACCTGAGGTAAGGACTTATGTAACCAAAATGTTCAATGTACATATCTAGAGTTCTGCTATCATCATGCTACGAGGTATGCCCAGCCAACACCCGAGCAACGCCGTGCCCACAGTAAACACCGCAAAAGTCCAAACAAGAAGCCATGACCATACCCTCATGATCTATTAATCGTCAGCGGCTTGAAGGGCTTCCTCAGCCGGTCTATCGGTGCAAGGCCTCCTTCCTTCTTTAACGCCGCCGGCCGCTTGAATCCCCCAAAGCCATTCGTAGTCGTGGTCGTATGTAAGCAGCTCGCCGGCCGTTCCCGGACCGGCGGTGGCTCGTTCATGTCTTGATTCTCCTTTTCAGGAGACTTCGCTCGAGGCGGGGAGCTCGAGAAGTTTGTATAGTGTTTCTTTGGCCCCGCGGTGCCCTCGAAAGCTGGTCTTACTGGTTTGGCGGGCATTCTCCCCTGTCCGAGTCGGTGACCGCTGAGGCCCGGCTCAATGGCATTCGCAGGGCGCTGCGCTTGGTGCAAGTCTGGCAACTCTGGAAGCTCTTGAGCAATCGATCGTGGCTCGGGAGCTGCTGGACGATGTGTTGAGGGATAGGATGTATGCGATAAATCGGATTTGGTCCTCTTGACGAAACCCAGAAGACTCCGCTGATCAGCCGGCCGCTTCGACGTTCCTTTTCTGGGCGCGGCGGACTTTTGAGGTCCAGAGTCGTTTTGCTGAGCGGATGAGGCCATCTCCCTTGCAGCAGCCAGCATCTCCCGTGCCGCGCTTGCAGTCGTAAAGCCTGGCAGAGTGAAGTTGGAAGCACTGTCCATTGTTGTAGAAGTGTGCCAGGTGGGTATCGGCTGGGAATCGCCCTCTCCTGATGCTGAAGTTGCCTGTGCCCGAGGGCGTCTCTGTGCCCAGGGCATATTCCTCCCACTCGCGCCCCTTTCGCCAAAAGAGTCTTCCGGATCTTCGGGCCATAAGTTGTCCTCGGGCCGTTCCATGGGCGGCAGTTCCTTGTACACCTTGTCTTGTGTTGGCACAACTTTCTCTCTTCCAAGAATGCGCCCCATCTCCTGAAGGATCCCAGGCTCAAAGGACGGACCGGTTTTCCTAAAATACGGATGAATCTCTGATGGGATAAAAGGCGATAGCTCAGTACGCTCGCCACCGTTTCCTCCATTCTGCGAGCTGTACATTGGGCAACTGAGGTAGAGGAGTGTCTGCGCACGTGTCATGGCCACATAAAGTAGCCGACGTTCCTCGTCGAGATCCTCTGACCTCGAGTGTGGAATGGATCCATTGTACACTGCTGGTACAAAGACGATGGGCCATTCAAGACCCTTAGCTGCGTGAATAGTTGAGATGGTTACAGTCGGCTTGTTCTCCGCATCTCCCTTTTGCTGCGCATCCGACGCTAAGGAGACGTTTGCCAAGAAACGGCCCAAGGCGTTATTTTCTTGCACCTGCTGGACTCCATCGATCACTGGAAGACGATCCTCCTCAGCCGTGGCGTTCAAGTCTCGCATAAAATCGCCCGCCAGACTGATGAATTCCTGAACGTTGGCCCATCGCGTCTCATGCTCCTCCGGGTAGTTCTCCTGAAGGTATCTCTGGAAGTTGAGCTGTGAAAGCAGATTCTGGATAAGGTCGACCAAGTGGTAGTATGGACTCCCGATTGGAGGCTCTTCAATCTTCCTTCTGACCCCAGAAATCAGTCTCAGAAGCTCTGCGCTAATCTTTTGCTCCATGGCCTTCTTGATATTCGTCTTTGCTTGGCGCTCTCCCCGGCAATGCTTATTTAGCACCACCCAAACACTGAGCTTGGAGCTCTCGGCTTCCTCAAGAAGGGACTTTATAGTTGTGTCTCCAACGCCGCGGCGGGGAACATTGATGATGCGGGCCACTGCATCATTGTTGTCGGGCTGGTGAATGACACGCAGGTAGTCAAGAATCACCTTGACCTCAGCGCGGTCGTAGAACTTGAATCCGCCAACCATTTTATATGCAATGCCTGCTTTTCCTAGAGAGGATTCGACGTGCCTAGAAAGCGATGCCGACCGTAGGAGAATGGCCACATCATCGAAGGTCAGCATCTTGCCGGCCATTAGCAAGGCTCTCTTGAGTTCAGACACAATCCATTCGGCTTCCACGGCTGAAGACTTTAGTCTCCGGAGAACTGGTCGTGTGCCTTTGTTGTGAATAGGTAACAGGACCTTTTGGTAACGCTTCTTGTCTTGCTGGATAACCTTCAAGGAGACATCCAGGATTGCTTGGGACGAGCGGTAGTTTTCCTCCAGAGAGATCTCGTCCGCTTTGGGATAGTCCTTTAGCAGACGGTACAAATTCTTGATCTCGGCGGAACGCCAGCCGTAGATGCTCTGGTCCGGATCTCCCACAATGGTTATTCGTTCTCGTGCCTGAGCAAACAGCCTCATGAGTTCGTACTGAATGCCATTGGTGTCTTGGTACTCGTCAATGAGTACCGCCTGGACGTTGGCAACGCAAGAAGGGTGCTTTCGAAGTAACTCCACACACTTAGTCAACAAATCGTCGTAGTCCAGCAGATTCGACCGTTCGAGATGGCTTTGGTACTCGCGAAAGCATATTTCCAGGTCGCGATTCTCGGGTACTGGTTTACCGTTCCGCTTTACTGGTGCCTGATTGTCACCCCTAGCCTTCTTCTTGCTGATCCATGATCTTGCAGCAGGAGGATCGACTGATAGCTGTAATCGTTTGCAAATCCTCTGGATGACGGCTCTCGAGTCTCCATCGTCGGCAATGGCGAACTTTTCATCAAGCCCTATACGCTTGCCATAGGCAGCTAGGTAGCGGCGAGCAATACTGTGAAATGTGCCGAGAACAATCTTCTTCCCGCGGTCATCTCCAAGGGCCTTGCAGATGCGCTCCTTCATCTCCCGTGCGGACTTGACCGTGAAAGTGGCGACAATCATGTCAGTGGGCGCGTATCCAACATTGTCCACAAGCCAAACGACACGAGATGTCAAGGTGTGCGTCTTGCCACTTCCAGGGCCAGCCAGGATGGCGACGGTGGCATTCTTGGACGTGACGGCGCGACATTGTGCTGGATTCAATGTCGCAAGGATGGATTCGGCCGGGCCTGGGGCCGAACTTGACGAGTTCATTGTCGTAAGGCGATCATTGGCAGGAAAGGGAAGTGAATTGCAAATATTGGTATACAGAATGCTGTCCAACAGTGAATGCTCCGCTCGATTACCGCCTCCCGATGAAGAGGGTCGCGTCTCAGGGCTCAGTTGACGCGTCTAGCGGTTGCTTGATTGTGGCACCAGCACCCAACTCAACATCGCGGTACCTGTGTACCCGGCACGACATCAGGTGACCGCTCACGTGGGTAAAGGCCCCTGCCAAGGATACCTCGCCACGCACGTGCATCCGCAGATCCGCAAACCTCCGCGACCCACCTGCAGCTCGCACTGAAGCAGCAGGGGAACACTCCCCATACCGGACCGCTAAACTCTCGTTGATGGCTTCTTTGTTCTTACGACTCAACTCATGAATTCAAAGTCACCCACTGAGACATGAACCACAAATCCCACCCAGCCACTGGGTGACCCGACGGTTCAGTTTGGCTTCTTCCGTTGCTTCGATGCTCTTCAAGCGCCCAGGCGAAAGAAGCCCTATTGCGGCAATCATCGACGAGTTTCAATAGGCGGTGCAGTCGCACTGCTCTCGGATCCGGATGCATTCGCCGACGGTTTATCGGTTGAGCTCCGCGAGGTGAACACCACAGTCCCCCTTCCTCTAGAGTCTATGCCAAATCCATTATGCGTGGCTCTGATTCGACAAGCTGGCTTTTGTTTCTTCGATCAAGAGTCCCATCCCGCCGTTTCCATCACACCCAGACGTGCCAGACCGGCAACGACCGGCTGGAAGGGTGTAAGGGACCACGGAACGCTCCACTGGGCAAAGCGAATAAGCATCGCTCGGACAAAGTCTGTTTTCTTCATTGTTGCTTTGATGACTCGCGAAGGGTTGTTCGCTACCCGCCGAAAGCGAACGGACATTCACCCGTGCTCGCCCAAGGTTTACCCCTCCGTCGTGGATGAGAAACAGGAGCAACTCAACTCAACGGCACGAACGGGCAGAAACAAAGTCAACGTTCCATCGGTCGATGTCGCTCGATGGCAGAAGAACAGCGTCGGTCCTATCACGGTGATGAAGTTACGATCATCACGCTTTAATGCTGCCCGCAATGTGAAGTCACACTTGGGCAGAGATCCCATTCGAGGACGCCTGTGATGCGATGCTCCAGAGGGCAAGGCCAGTGCAATAACGTTGTGCCCTATTGCAGCAGCTCATGCGGTCAGAACGAGATAGTGATGGGGCCAATGCAGGGATGGCCTTCCCGCTGCCGGGACTTGGGCCTGGATTTGGGGGACTGGATTCGCTTTGCATGTGTCCCCTTGGACAGTCGAGACTGAAGAGACGTGAGAGACAGGATGAGAAGCGAGGACGACAGGCGGAACCACCTGAACAGCTGACCTGGGAACCGCTCCTCTTCTTTCACCACTGTTCACGACAGACCACGGTGATTCCGACTCTCAGTGGTCAACCAGTTTGGGGCCATGGCAGGGCATGGCAGGACATGGTTTATTGCCCTGCGAGGACGAATTGAGTTGCCAGAGTTCTTGTTGAATGACAATGAAGGGTGGCACGGCGCGGGGTTGGATCAACTTGGATGTGACGGAGCAATCCAATCATGCCCCCGGCAGCCATCCTCGGCGCTTACGCCCCCTGCCATCACGTCGATCCGTCCAACCACATCTCGGGAAGCCCTTGATGCTCCCGCCTCCTCTGCAGACGACATTAATAGCCACGAGCCATTTTGGGCGCTATTTTATCGTCGCCATCATGCGAGTGCGACCGCTTCGCAGGCGTCGTGCCTGGGTGTTCAGCAAGTCAGAGTCCAGAGCACACGGTCAGCGCCAATCTCGACGCACTGCCGAACTTCACCAGCCGCTATATACCCTTTGTACGCCGCATATCCGTGCCTTTCCATGTAACTTCTCCATCACAATGTGTTTCGGACCCTCCTCCAGGAGGTAAGATCATCAAAGCTGGATTTGACTTTTAAAAAGAGTTGCGGTGTCCTCACCACCTCACCATGAAACCCGTCCAAGCCCTTCTTAACTCGTGTCCTCGACTTCACTTCTTGACCTTCGTTCTTTACTTCTTCTTTTGCAGCAGCCACATCACACTTGCAGCCCCGTCACCGTCTGTCCTGGAGACTCGCAGCAACAACAACCCGTTGAACATTGATTGGGATCCCGCACCATCACCAGAGGACGGACCGCCTGCATCTGCAAACGCTCTCAGAGACCCTGCATATCTCCCTTACCAGATCGGCGCCATCGTCGGTTCCTACGGAGTATCATTGGTGCTGGTCGCCGGTTTGTTGCTAGTATTATCGAAAAGACGTCGTGAGGCCCTCACTGCCGGTGACGACGAGGTGAACTTTGAGGGTGGACTTGAAGAGCCGCTCGACGATCCAAAGTCACCCCCGAAACTCACCCTTGAGGTGCCGAGTTCGCCCAGGAGTATTCCCCGGAGCCCCGTCCGCAACTTTTCGTATCCCGGTGCCGAGGAATACCAGACGCCGGAATATCCAACTCCCCAGACCCCTTACGTCAACCCAACACCAACGTCGACGCTTCAGGCGCCCGGAATAGACTTTACCGTGGACCAGAGAATCGTCGCCAAAGATAAGAAAATGGCGCAAACGCAACTTGAGGAGATGTACAAGTACGTAATGGAGCAGGAGGAGGCCAAACTTCAGGGCATCAAGCTGGAAGGGTCACCGGTACTTTCGGCCAACCCTCAGCTACCAACGCCGACGAATGCCAGCTTTAGCAAGTCGTCCCTGAGGAAGGAAAAGCACAAGCCAGGCAACCTGAACCTGGCAGAGGAGAAGCCAGAGAAGAAGCAGTCGAGAGCTTCATCCATCTTCTCGGCGCTGCGTTCTCCTAAGAAAGACAAGAACGTCCGGGGTATCAGCATTTCGTCACCCATCATGACACCCATGACGGGAACTTTCCCGAGACAGGAGGCGCAAGAGATGAACGCCATACCGCCGCGGCAGTACGCACCGCCCCCGCCTCCCCCGGTGCCCATGAGCCAGATGCAGATGCCGTACGGAGTACACCAGCACAACGGCCAGGTATCACCCGTCAGCCCTGACCACTCCCCGGAGAGCACCCAGAGCATCGACGAGCGGATCGGCGGCCAGATCCCCATCGGTCATGTCCGCAAGCCGTCTGCGGCGCCCTCCGAAATGGACCCCAACTCCGCCGTCTCGGAGCGATCGACCGCGCCGCTCATCGGGCTCCCGCAATCCCCGAAGCCGGGCGCCCGATTCAGCTCCACCCTACCCTCGTCTCCGAAGCCAGGATCCTCGTTCCAGCTCCCCGCCTCGCCCCTGCCAGGAGCCGGGTTCCGGTCCAAGGCCCCTTCGGCAGTCCGCACTGGCGGATCCCTGCCTCTGCGCGCGTATGAGCCTGCTCTGAGCTCACCGTCGCTGGCTTCGCAGACCACCAAACAGACCGTGTTCACGCGCACGGGACCTTTGTCGCCGTCGGGAGCACGCACGCCGGCTACTGGCATGGCGGTGCCGTACTCGCCTTACCAGCCTTTCACGCCCTGCGTGCCCATGACGCCGTCCCTCATCACCAAGGCTGACCGGAAGAGGATGAAGAAGCTGGAGCCTAAGACACCAACGTTGGAGATGGTCAGGAGTGATGATGACATCTGGTAAACAGAGGGTTGTCGGGCAGGTTTCCGGGGAGTTAGAAAAGGAGAGTACGGACAGGGGGCAAAATACCCATATAGACTGTGGACAATGCAAAGCAGGGCCTGGCGGGCGACCGTAGGGTAATGTCATGATGAAATGTTCTTTTCCCCTTTTTGGAAATGGGATGAAGGAGAGGGGAATCAGAGAGAGAAGAGAGGATGAGGAAGAGAGAGACGTTTCTTGGCGTTGTCTCCTGATTGGATCTTAGTTTTCTTCCATCGGATTTCTATCGCACATACGCAAAATACCATTTTACATAGCAAGAAAGGGAAAGATGAGAGGTTCCGGTTCAATGATCAGAGTTTATGACAAGAGTCAGTACGCGCAGGACAGAGGGAAGACGATCTGTCATGCCCTCCTCTCTGGAACGAGACGATCCCCGGATAGCATCCAGGTATTTAATGATTAAGTTTTTATTTTCTGCCCTCCTTCTTCGCTCGCATTCTGCAATGCTGCAGTATGCAATTCAGGGTTCGTGCCATGCGTGTCAAGGACGAATAGGCGTTTCAGATGGCCCAGACGGAGGGTTGAGGGATTGTCTCTAGTGTCTCGGATGAGGGAGGGGTAATAAGTAGTACTCGATTGGTTCAGTCACAGTAAGAGATGAGGGAGCCAAAGAGAGTCTGTTGATCGGCGGGCAGATGGTAGGCACACTAAAGGCTAACTGATGGCTGTCAACGTCACCAGTGAGGGGGCCAGATATTGTTCAGACTTTGAGCAGTTTTGCTGGGTCTTTGGGAGTTGCTAAAGACGTTGAAGCACGAGGTCCAACGGGCCGGAGGGATGGTTAGAGGCCAAGGTCAAGCACCCGTCAAGCGTGTTTGCGGGGTGCGTGGGTGGGATGCTTGGCCTTTCTGCATTCTTGGTGATGTTGTGGCAGGCTCAAGCAGGGCGAGTCGCAGCCATGCTCCATTGTGAGACACTCGCTGAGGCGCTGGATGAGAATCAGAAGGACGAGGTGTGCAAGGTGTGTTGTGTGTGTGATAGACGGGGTAGGGGACTGAGTGTGGGCACTGAGCGTGAGCAGCAGAGACAGGCACACACGCACATTGGTAGAGACGGGCGAAGACACCTCACGGTCCACGAGTCGAGGACACGGCCCTGGTCTGGAAAAGAAGCATGAAGCACCAAAACGACCGTGACGAGCGCGCGCGCTTGCGAGGGGGAGATAAGAGGCATATCCGGACACGAGAAACACACCTGGAAAGTTGAAAGAGCGCAAGAGAAGGGAAAAAAAAAGCGAGGAGAGACAGAGACCGAGGCGCCACCGGTGAGCAAGGTGATTGATAGTGGAAAAGCCACAGCTGCTTTCAGCCTTTCAGCACCGGAGATATTGGAACTAGCGAGCTCTACTAGCTTACGGCTGATGTCTCTCTCGAGTCTCAATCTAGTGAGGGCCGCTGGGGGGCGAAGTCTTCTTTTCCGTTTCTTTCTTCAGGTGTCTTGCAGGTTTTTGTGATCCGGCGACCCAGCGCTACGGCGAGCGCCGGTGAGTCTTGGCTCATCGAGGGTCGAGGTACGGATACCTACTTTAAAGATCAATAGCAACTGAAGAGAAACGGGGGCATCGCAAATGAAAAGTGTGGAGACGTAAAAAGGCTAGGGCAGAAAAATGCCCGTCGTCATCATGGGACACCCATCGAGCTGAGCTGGAGTATGAGCGGTGATCCTGGCTGGCTGGTGTTTGTGACGAGGAGGAGCTGAGCAACTTGAGATCCCTACGAGTACGGATTCAGGCAAGAAGCGATGAGCAATGAGACTTTTGCCTGGAAACGGGTCGGATTTGTGAGCAGCGCTTGCAGTACCTATCTACCTATTCGCAGTCCGCATTGGAATTCCATAGGAGTTCAAGATTCGGTATCAAGCGATAGTTTCGGTCCGTAACCGTAGATAGCATGTGGAAGCGTTGGGCTACCAAGGCGTTCCCGGCTCGCGGGTGGCCCCCTCTCATCCGAAGGGTGAACTCTCACACACTTCTCTCACTCTTGACTTGCCCGTCATGCCTTTTTGCCAGTTTCTACGCGTGCCACGGCGCAGTGTTGCTTGGCGGTAAGTGGCGTTTCTAGAGTGGGGAAGCCTAGAAGATGAGCGATGCGTACCTATGGTGAGTGAGCAAGCGAGCAAGTGAGATTGTGTGAGAGAGGAGGGTGAAAGACGCTTGTCACTGTGAGAGTCAGAGAGGGCGGCCGGCGCGGTGTTCCTGGTCCCCCGGGGCTCCATGACCAGGCCCATCCGGCATCTCCCAGCGCTGATCCAAGACTCAGAACTGCCCTTTGCCAGACTTTTGGCGTCCCACATCGTTGCGATTGAGACTGTGAGACTTGCGAGTGTGAGTTCTTTGCTCATCTGTCTTCCCTGGCCTGGCCTGGCCTGGCACGCTTGGATGAGCACCTAGGTATTGAGTGATGCCCGAGGTAAGGTCGGTCGGTACCTGAAGGGGAGTCAGGGTGGGCAGGCGAGCGGGCAGACGGGAGGAAGGTATCGTCTCATATTAAACAAGGTGTGAGGATACGTACCTGCTGTCAAAGTGCGAGTGGACCTTCCCCGAATTGCCAGCCGGCGGGATCATTGCCGGCAGCCGTCAGTATCGAGAGTTGGGAGGACTTTTCCTTAACAACTCATGAAGCAGATGGTGCAGACCTGGCAGGAAGGAAGTTGTTGGCAGCAGCATCCCGGGTCTGTAGGGCAGCGAAGCAGGGACGAGTCGGCGGTGGCAGTACATACGTAGGTATATTTGATGGTGGTCAAACCAAATGTGGGAAGGAGTTGGTACGGACAGCGGGCGAGCTACGGGTCGTAGAAGGTGCCTAGGACTGGTCCTTCCTGCGTCGAGTCTAAGGGTAGGTACGATCCACGGCTGATTGGTGGCAGCCTGTAGGAACTGAGGAAAGCACCAAGGTACGGAGTACTTGGTGCAAATACGTACCTGACGAGATGGATCATTGGCAAGGACGGGCAGGGACGGGTGGTGGTCTGGGCTCCTGCGGTCTCTGGGCTCATATCAGGCGTAGTTTCTAGATAATCGTACGATGCTCCCCCGTTCCCTTCCCTCTCCCCTTCTCTGCTTCCCTCTTTCGCTCTCCTTCGACCCTCCCACCCGATTTCGATTTTGATTTCGATTCCCGATTGCCTGCCCTCCACCCATTGACTGGCACTGCCAAACCGCAATTGAGCATCTCGAATTCTTCGTCAGGATATCCGTACAGACCAAGAAAAAGTACGACTCCAGAATAATCTCTCTGCACTGCACGTTGAATGTGCATGCATCGGAAAGGAACATCAAGCAACCACAGAGTCCCCCGACACACACAACTTGACATCCCCGCCCCTCTTTCTCGTCCCTCCCTCGACGCTCGACCTGCAGTCTGGCCCTGAGAGCAGTGGCCCACCCCCAGCAAGTCCCGTCAATTCGCTGCGTCGCATCCGTGAGAGGAAAAATAAGGCGCCGCAAAACCAGACCAGCGTCATACGACTTCGACCCTCTCGCTTGTTTTCCCTCTGGGTCTCTCCGTTCTGCCTCCCGGCTGACACCACTCCTCCATCCCCATCTGTCCATCGCCTTCTGCCGACAGTCGTACGACCAGACATTCTTCCCGCTCAGCACCACGCCGCTGATTGCCGTCAATTGCTCTCGCATTCCCGATACCTCACTCCCTCACCCAAAAGACACGACCAATCTCTGGCCCCTGCGGCCTCGTCCACCGCTCCCGTCGCTGCTCGCCGGCCACTCACATCGAGTCCCGCTCTAGATTCCGGGACCTGGCCCCCATTCCCAGCGCCGAGCGCACCCAAAGAATCCCAGGCCCGTCCCGACTTCGATGAATTGAGCATCAGCCCATAAGTGCATATTTTGACCGCTCTGCAACATGGCGGACCAGGATCCCAACGCCTTATTTGGCCTCGACGACTCGAACCTCGGCGTGCCCCCGTCGTTCCTCGACGACTCGGACGGCCAGAACGTCAAATCTGACCGAACTGGATCCAGCATCGCCAACGACAATCAGGTCTACTACGACGCAAACAATTGGTCCTTTCAAGACACACCCCCGTACGACACCTACAACATCGCTGCCGTCACCACCGCCGCTGGCGCCACTCCTCTCTTCCAGACTGCCGCTCCGTGGGATTTCTCTCCGAATAACCAACACCATCAACACGGCCCTCCCGCCGTCACCTCCGGTCTTGATCACTCAACTCTCGCCCAGGCTGGCTTCTATGCCGCTCCCCCTCCCGCCCCCAACAACCAGCAATCCCATCGAGGAGGCCAACCACACACCCTCCCGCAAGAGACCCTGAGTACCCTGACTCCCGCCCAACAGGAAAAGCTCAGAAATATCGCCATGCCCGCCCATCTGCAGTATCAATCTCCCAAGAGCGAGCCGAGCCCCGGATCCGCTACCAGCGATCACAAGGCAGCAGGACTGTCGTCTCCCGATGCCCACGACTCCAGCAAGGCCAGCAGGAAGCGCAAGTCTTCGGCTGATGTCGACGACGATGAGGAGGAGGATGAGGACGGCCAGCCTATCAAGAAGACGGCCCATAACATGATTGAGAAGAGGTATCGCACCAATCTCAACGACAAGATTGCCGCGCTCCGAGATAGCGTTCCTAGTCTGAGGATCATGTCCAAGAGTGCCAGGGGAGAAGACACCACCGAAGATCGCGAGGAACTTCACGGCTTGACGCCAGCCCACAAGCTCAACAAGGCTACAGTAAGTCGTCAGGATGAAGCGTTCTGACAAGACAAGTAACTGACAATCGCAGGTTTTGAGCAAGGCCACCGAGTACATTCGCCATTTGGAGAAGAGGAATAACCGTCTCTGCGACGAAAACCATGCCATGCAGAACAGAATCGCCGCCTTTGAGAAGCTTTTCATGGCTGGCGCGATGAATGGTGCCATGAGCCCTCTCCAGCAACCGCCGACTCCTATGCAGTACCCCCAGGATCAGTACATGAGCACCCCTATCGGAACGCCGCGTGGCGAGTCTGCACAGGGCATGATTCCTGTGCCTGACGACATGAAGCGTATCATTTCTGCTCAAATGGCGGCCGGCCAACCTTACCCCATGCCACAGCAAAACTACCGCGGAAACCCCAACGTCATGCGACAACAACAGATCCAGCAACAGCAGCAGCAGCAACAGATGCAGCAACAAGGACGATGGGGCAACAGCAGTCAGTACTTCGGCAAGCTGATGGTCGGCTCGCTGGCCGGCCTTATGATTGTCGAGGCTGTGCGAGAGAACGAGCAGAGCAACGACACGCCCGAAGGCCGCGGTCTCTTCGCCCTGCCCATCCAGCTGCTCAGCTATCTCGGATCGACTTCTCACATGCACATTGGCGGCTACTACATCTCTCCTGCCCAGATCATCTCGCATCTGAAACTTTTGTTTTTCCTTGGCACTTGCTTGTGGGTCTTTGTGCCCTCGCTCTTCGTTCCATCTGAGGGGAAGCCAAAGAAGGCGCAACGTCTTCGGGAGTCGCTCCAGGCCGCTGGTTCCGTTGCATCCCCAATTCACGTCCGTCGCCAAGCTTGGTTGACTGCAATTCAGACCGTCTGGGTTCCTCAGCACAACTTCTTCCTCGAAGCTGCCGCTCTAATCATGAAGACGATGAAGTTGAGCATGCGCAACGCTATCGGTGTCCACGGCTACCAAATGCTCACCGGTCTCACTGAAGAGCAGGAGGCTGCTCGTGTCAAGGCTTGGTCAATTGCGTTGGATGCCCAGCTTGCAGGAGGCGATGTTGAGATCAACAAGAGCCGACTAACCCTTACCCTCCTGGCATCAGGCACTCTTCCCGATACCCCTTCCCGACTGATGCTCAAGGCTCTTCACGTCCGTGTCCTTCTTTGGGATCTTGGTGCCAAGGGACTTCACAATATCGTTGCCAAGAAGGTCGCCCGCTCCCTCTGGAACGAGGCGAGAAACCAGAACCGTGTTCTTTCGCAGCTGCGCCGTAACTCTGAGCAGGTCGATGATGATCTCCCCGAGCACCTGGCTGCCCTCATCGAGCAAGAATGCGACGACGTGCTCAACAACAGCGTTGTCCAGCGAGCCTACAACCTGGCGTGGAACTTGTCGACTACCGAGGGAGTTACCGAGCACAACGACGGAATGGACACCGTTGTTGACGACCAGGCTGTACGATCCCCACTGGATGCTGTTGCTGCCTGGTG